GTTCACTCATAAAATGTGTCACAATAACGTTACAGCTATGCTAGGCTTTGGCCCACATCAGTCTAAAACTGTAACCATGAATAACGTGTTTGGGAAACTAACTGCACAACAGCAGCACTATTAGTTCTCTCAGTCTCAGAGCAGCATTTCTCATTTTGACTGAAGCTGTCAGAGAAAACGGAGCCTCGAGCAGCCAGGATATTAGTTTACAGAGGCTGTTAGAATTATGTGTCTAATGTTAAAATGTTGGTGACACAATAATTTCATCCTAATGGCACTGACATATTCATAGGGTTAATTTTTGAGACAAAATGTCATGAGGTAGTCATGATTTTGCAAATATCCACCTTGTAGTGCAGTTTGCACAGTTTTAAAATGCACTCAGCCTACAAACATTACTGATGAGTCAAGATCTGCACAAAGTGACAGAAACACTGAAGCAGCTCCACATTTTATTCTTATTGTCATGTTTGTCCTGTTTGTCAGGGGACAGAGGCAGCTCTGCCATGTTGTAGCTCAGAGCTGAAGAGGTCACAGGTGACTGATGATTTGGTGCTGTAGATTAACTAGTATTTATTATCATGACAGTTGTCAGGCTGCTGATGTAAATATATTCATTAGTGTATGTTTGACAAAGAATCTGAATTGACATGTCTCACTTTTATATGGCACCAATCAATGTGTTATTTTATCAGGTGGCAAAATGTCCTAGTGCAGGCAGAGGGGAGGAGCCAGGGTCAAAGGTGAGGCACATCAGGCACAGAATAAAAATTTAATCTGGGGATAAAACGCCCTTGGTGACAGGTCAAGAGTGCAGGCACAGTCGCTACAGAGTCATGCTGCTGTAATACAGGCTAAAGCATAAACCTCTGTATGCATCACTGAGGGTCAGCGGACACGGTGTTCCTAAAAAGACAATATTGTTCCTGATTACTGTTCATCAAGTCTGTGACCAGAGAAGGCAGTAATGTTTCGTCATCTCGTTTATGTTCTTCTTTTAAATAACACGGTTCAGTATTAACCTGACTGTGGATACAGCGATGAACTGTGACACCACAGAACTGCACCCAGAGCAGTGCTGAGGGCTGGAGATCACTCACTCATCCTTATGCAACCGTGAACACTTTCAGTTTTACTTCTAAAAGACTCACTGCGATGTGGTTTGTATGCCCACATATATGTTCTCCTTTTGTCAGCAAACAAACTAACGACGTTTTTTTACCATTACCACAGATAATTAACTAATGGGAGAACTCCATTACAGCACAGATGGTAGGAGACGAGTACATGCCAACGGGAAAGGCTTTTAAAAACTTTAGTTTTTAAATTAAAGTGAATAGAAATAATATGAAATAACTAATAAGTAACACACACACACGCGCACGTTTCCACTCTTTTTTCATAAGAAAAACAAACAAACAAACATATCTATATCTGTCCTATTATTAGCTCCTGAATGTCTGGCTGATTGTTACCCTAAAACTGCCGTATTTGTCCCTGCACTAGGCCCGTCCATCACAGTGCTAACACACAGACACAATCATTTACACCCAGTTTATGACCTGAGGCGCACATGTTAAGACGAAGCCAACACATCCACAGATGCTGACACCCTTACAACCGCTGCGCCATCATCAGTGCTACAACACCAGTTAAAACAATTATAACGTGTGTATTTAAAGACACATGATCTACAGTCTCCTGTGCACCTGCAGGTGCTTTCACTTTGTGACATCGCTGCCAAACGCAGACGGTCCCTAACGCTGACGACAGCTCAATGAGGACCTGTTTTTTTCAGCGGAGGCACAAATAAAGTTTGTTTATCAGAACACTTGGAGCTAAACCGCGGTACATTTAACCGCCTGGTTGTCGTGTGGTGCACGTTCACAGCAGTGGCGGGTACA